ACAGCTCCTTCCACCAGTCTGGATGCATTCTCTGCCAAAGACTTTCAGCAATTAATTGCCGATGATGCACCTGCTAGCGTTTTGGACTCGGCTGAGCCACCGTTGCCTTCTGTGAGTAACCTGTTTCTCTGTTAACCTACTTGTGTTCCATTCCCACCCTTAGACCCTTGTACAGTTTAAAAATCATTTCAAATTTTCGGTTTTGCCAATCGTATTGTAGAAGGCATAGCATCGGACAAAACTGCTCCTTCTGATTGGCTTGAGCTGTCGCATGCGGGGCCCATTCCCTTGTACCATCAGGAGGTCATAAAATATAAAATTGTCGAATAAGCAGCAATCTTGGTGTTAACTCTGCATTTAAAACACTTAAAAGTAAAGTGTTGGTGGCGATGTAAGCGTAATTCAGAGATGAAGATAACAGTCATTTAAATAATGGTAGTAAATAGAAGGGGGGAATTCAGAGGTGAACATGCATTAATTGTTGCCGGTAATTTACATCTTAGTCAATTTTTTGTGGAAAGAAAGCAACGCTTACCTCTTTGCGAAAACAATCCTGAATATTTGCTAATGGCGAAGACAAGTTCTTTCAGGGAGCGATTCATTTGGCCGCTCGTATAAACTCCATGCCATGGGATAGTAAACATCGAAGCCAACTCACCAACGTAGTATCTATAACAGGCAATGGAAGAGTAGGATTTGCATAGTATTAAAGCCTACACAACTCGATCTACAAGCCAGTATCAAGCACACAAGTAGACTGCAAAGGAAATGCGACTGTGGAGTTGGCTAAGCCTGCATGCATTGAAGTTGGTAACAGTGGGTGAGAGTAAGCACAGCTCACAATACGCGAGGCCGTGTGCTCGGCCCTCTGAAGTGGTGCCTAACTGTGAGACACTTTGGGTGGTGGTGCCTCAGTGTTAGAAGCCGTGTGCCTGGCCGTCCATGGTGGTGCCACAATGTGGCCAGTCGTGGGGTTGGCCGTCTCTGCGGTAGACGGAATCTATGACTTATCCGATTTTCTGCAGTGTCCATGTGGAGAGGAGAGCAATAGAATGCTATTTTTGCAATTTGCCGTGGTCTAGGTGCCTATCAGACAGATCAGCGATTTTAATTGTAAACGCGAATGTCGCCTATATCAAATTTATTGAAACTCTCTCCTAGAATCTTTTTATAATCCCTCCTTACGCAGTTGCAATCGTTTTTAACGAATTTCTGAGGATTTTTGCTAATCCTCGCTTAATGTTCGAAGTTCATATAGATTAAATGGCAGAATATTCTCTATCTGCGCGCTCCAGTGCTCCACTATCAAACGAGTGACGCCAAAAATTACTTTAAAATTGACGATCTCTAAAAGTTCAGCAGTTATCTGTAATTGTATCTGGATTACTCTAAAGCATGATGATGAGTAGCAAACCCCTTTTTGGAAGAGAGTTGCCAAATTTGTATTTGAGGAATTCCATAACTACACCAGCATTCACCTATGCACCGATCTTAATTCATAATGACCACTTATGCTGTTCTTTCATATTTTTTCCAATTTATAGGTTTATAGCAAGAATTATTTACATAAAAGTTTGGCAAACTTTATTCCTGAACACATGTTATCTACTCAAATCACCAGTATACTGATGCAAAACCATTTCTTATGTAAAGCTTCTAGTTGCATTACAAAAATGGGTTTCTCCAGAGCTTCAATAGGCACCAAATTTTAGCGCGCGGAATTCGTCGTCATTTAGTTGATAGATCGACCATTACATCGGTTGTTTGGATAGGGAAGACATCTGCAACCTAATGCAGGGTGATTAGAATTCATCTATTCGTTTACGAAATAAATTGCATTTATAAGTAACAATGTTTTGGCACTATTTCTGTTTGTTTATCTTTAAGTTGCCAGTAGTGAGGTTTGCCAGCCTTTGTAAAGTATTTCGATATATGCTACATAAGTAGGCATGCGCACAATAAAAGCAAATGGCTTTGCATCGTATACTTACCCCCAAACCTCGCACCCTATAGAATGATTGCATGACTTAGCAAAGAGTTCCTTCAAACAAAGCCGCTCTTATCGGCTTCAATGTGTGCAGCGTCATGTAGAAGCTTACTTAACATGCAATTCCCGCTTTAAAAGAGGGTGTAAAAGGGTATGAGTAATGCAATGCGTCACCACGCCATCACTTCCCCATGCATAACCACTAGAATTAGAACCAGCAATAAGAAGTCAGCAAATAACTACCTAGCAACACTTTCCTCGTTTTATGGAAATCTAGAAGATACTCAATCTTCCTACTATCCTTAACGACCTTCAAATTTGCCTAGTCTGGATCGAACATGGTTTACTGCCTCTTCAAAATGATTCCTCCATTTAGTAAAACAACGAAATCGAAGTCCTGCTCATTTATCCATTACTCTTTCACGTCACATATACCTTGACGAGACGAGATATGAGGTGAGATGAGATGCCTGTCAGATCATGCATGAGGCGCCAATTTCATAAGCCTCATGCATGGATGGAGGGAGGGCTGAATAAGTGAGGAGACTCGGATCAATGCAAATATCTTTTTAATCAAAAAAGGTTTGATAATCCATTAGGCTTTTAATATTCCTTTAATAACTCCCCCACCATTTATACGGTATAATATGCCCTTCCGATTTTCATGCCCGCCACCCTCTGATTAGATCAGCATAAGCAAGTGAAAGTGAAATCACGGTAGTTGGCGTACCCACCGGATTGCGCTGACTGCCAAGATTGCGCCCTATATTTCACTAACCATTAACATTAAGTTAGGAGCCGCAAAACCTTTAACGATATGTTAAAGCTCCAGCAGAGCGTTAAAATAAGGTTTATCTAAAAACGCCGGTGTGGTAATGGAATTCCTTAAATACAGTCGACACCTCTCTTTCAGGAAGGGATCCGCCTCTTTTAAACATGCTTTAGAGTACTTTAGGTACGATTACAGATATGTGTTAGACTGTTTAGAAATGACCAAGTTGGTGGTCATTTTATTTTTCAGTCTTTGGATAGTGTAGCACTAGTTTGCACAGGTAGCGAACATTCTGCCATTTAATACATGAACCTTGATCATAAAACAGCGAGTCAGAGAAAACTCCAAAAACACGTTAAAAACAATCGCACCTGCATAGAAAGGGACCATTAGAAGATTCTAGCAGGGGTTTTAAAGAAGTTCGATTTGGATGATATTCATGTCAATCGGCAAAATCGCTGATAGGCAACTAGACCATGGTGCCTTGAATTGCAAAAATTGTGTTCTTTTTTGTACAAATATTAATAGTATGCCAATACATATTCATTTTATTGTGTAGTAGTACCTACTAACTCAGAAATAACATCGCCTTGACAATTATGACGTAATTTAATAACCCGATCATACGCGTGGAACGTGTTGTTGAAGCGCATTCTGAAGGTAGTTCGGTCTGTGTACAGGATCATCGTGGACCATTAAACTGTTTTAGTAAGCGAAATCCGTTGTAGCCATCACAAAACACTTAATCTGCTTCTTCCAATAAGGCTATACTTCCTTAAGCGAAATGCTACAGAAGGATATAAATAAGATCTCTCGAAGTATGGGCAAAATGCGCCTTCTCTGGATGTTTGTCCGATTGGAACTGCCTTTGCCTCTTTGAAGTTGCTCTCGGTAAAACGCACGACTCGATCGCTGCCAAGGCCACTCGACTTTGCAAGCAATTCGACAGCCGCAAAGGTAATCCTATATTCTTTTCATGCTGCTCCTTAGTGAGTGTACATTCCTGAGAGTCATCTGCAGCAATTTTAACCTTTGCAGTTTTTAATAAATTCGTATGCATGAACACACGTATATATTAAATTAAACCTTACAGCTATTATCTTTTATTGCTATAATTATGCTGGACAGCATTACCTGTTAAGGTCTCATCTTCAGCAGTCAGTTGGGAGTATGGTCTGATCCACCAGTACTGTCATGCGGGTTTCGATGACAACGACACTGCGTGATGAGGAAGGAGTTCAAGTGTGACCTCTCTGACTATCTGCCTATGAGCCAGTGGTCAGGTATGCTTGAACAAGCTAAGAGGTGGCAGTTGTCACCCTCCTTGGTGGCATGCACTCCCATCACATCGTCATCCCTATCCACTGTGTCAGTAATGTTGGTATTGGCTTTGGCTGGTATCCACTTATGCACACGCACACACACCTATCCATCCGAAGTGCCGTCTCTCCGTGAGTGCTCTTTAGTATCACCCCATAAAACTAGTTGATTTGTCACTCTAATAGCGCTATTGCTTACTCCTCATCTCATGCCACTTCGCTCAAATCGTGACTCACTTCCAACTGACTAAAACCCAAATCAAAGGGCTGTATTGCTTTAAAAGGTAACAAGACTAGCCAGTGTTTATGGATCTGTGGGAAAACAACGCTTCTTGTATCAGGCTTAGATGACTAGAATCCACTTTAAGCAAAGTGAGTGCGTGCAGAGTCCTCAAGGCATTGAATGAACATCAATGTTAAGGTGAATATAGAAACAAAGACAATGTTTTATTCACGATGACTTTGTATTCCTGTCTATTATTTTGTAAAAAAAAACATTGTTTCTGGTGATTTTTTCGCTTCCAGAAATTAAGGAGATACGGTTTGTGAAATGAGTTTTGTCAACTTTATGAATAAGAATGCTCTAATCGTTGACTGTAGACCATAAATGGTAGTCTGCGGCTTTTGTGGTCTGATCCCTCTTGTGACTTTTTAAATGAGCCACTCATGTCACCAAGTCCGGGGAAAGCTCTCCCATTTCTATTCCATGCTGACGGTGATTTACGCAAACACACAATCAATGCTTTAGTTCCTGCTTGTTGCTGATGTTAATAGTGAGTCATGTTCCTGTTACTTTATTTGGATGTTAGTTCTAGGGGATATCGTCATAGAGTTTATTCTTTTCGTAAGTGCAGTCTCTTTTTCGAGCCTTATATTTATGCCTGTAAGTACCTTATCGTCATTTTGAGTCAGCGCATTTATGCGGTGTCCTTGTTATCTTTTTTTTATTCGTAATGTGTTTTCACTTGACTGGTTTGACTTGTGATACATGATAGGAGGTTTTTGTCGACTTTATGATTGATTTCCCTTAGGCATGTACACCTTATGTTTTCCCCTAGTGGAGTCGGCAGAAAGCTACTTCTTACGGCTGTTGACATGGCTGCTATTTGTGTGGGCTTCGCACTGGAGTGAGATCGTGACATTTGTAAGTCCTTTCCAGCATACTCATTTTCATATTTTAATTAAATCAGCTTTAAGAGAAGTGGAAGTATATAATTGTGCCTGAGCTTCCATACCTCACTTGGTCCAAGCCATCCTGTGCACGTTCCTCTCTTCCTCTTATGTTTTTTTTCACAAACCTATCATATTGATGAAAGCCTACTTTTGTATTTTGCATTTGTATCCATTTGCATAAAAATTATCCTTCAACAAAGCTAACAATGCGAACAAAATATTAGGGTAGCGAAAGCTCATATTTTAAGCGATATGTGACGGGCTTTTTCTCTTTTAATTACTGATGAATGGAGCTCATAGTTTTACAGGGATATCAGTGGTTGAGTGTTAATTCGGTGGACTTTTTACATATCCTTGTATAGTGATAAAAAATTCGGATTTTTTAACCTTTTAAGATCGACGTACGATATGTGGAAGGAGAAGAGTGGAATTAGATTCAGTGGAGTCCCAAAGGAGTATATATACACGGCGTATCGCGGCTATGGTCGCTACTGATGCCGTAGTGATCTTTACAATGGCAAAAGATATTGCGCCGGCGGTTTTAGTTAGTTTTCTTACCCATGCAGTGATTTCCACCACCACTTAGTGCTCTTTTTTCGATCAGAATGCGTTTTTTCTATTTGGAATTCATGGAGTTGTACATGCAATTTGCTAGCAATGCATAAATGGCGTTCATTATTATTCATCGAAATTCACTAATCACGTTTGTTTTATCTACAAATGTCCAAATTCATCCCATTCTTATTTGACCAGTTAATCTACTTCCATTTCTAAACGACGCCGGCGATGCGGTTGTTTTCCTAAAAGTGTAAGGTGGAAATGCTATAACAGCACAAAGTTGATGCATGGGTGTCTTTTCTAGCCTCAATTAAGAGCTCAATCTAATCAAATTCAGTGTTTGACTACAAAAAAATTGGTTGGAATAATTGTGAAAAATGCTGCATAGACAACCAGTTAAGCTCCACTTCATGTACTCTCTAGCTGCGACAAATAAGCGAAGATCTCACTTAAGTCCTAAGGAAAACGTCACCACTTTTTTCAGCCTTTCATATCGAAAACAATTATTTTAATACGTCACACATGCGTGACACGTATTTTTTTGGTTTTGGACAGTTCGTAGTGCATAGTTCAGATCCTCGATTTTTCCCCCGATCTTGATAACGAACGTTTGATCCATGGCTGGTGATACCTCATGGGGTTTTGGAGAATTTCGAATCAAGGCAGGAAATATGTGATATTTCGTTTTGTTCGCCATCGAAAGTGATGTCGATCTTGCTGTACCTAAACGATATTGCGTTATCGTTGCCATTTGATTTTATTTGCCATGTAATATCTGAACGCGTCACATAATTTTGCGCTAATTACAATAGGGGATAAATGCGCCCACTCCTTTGCTAATGGGGCTTCTCATCTGGATGAATTTCTTTTACCACGAAAGGTGGATTATTAACATCGCGTCAGCTTCAATTTAGCATCTGTTATTGCCTTGAAATTTATTGTAGTACAAAAATTACTAACGTCAATATATTCACCTGGCTCTTTGTGCTCTCTCATACTTTCGGCTCAGTCGCTGGTGCTACCACTCATTAGTTGCTTCCGACTTTGTCACCTGATGGTTGTCTGTCTTCAGTAAGAGTGTAAACCTCATATTCATATCCAACCGGTGGTGGCCCTTTGCAGCAACTGTTTCAGTGTCTTGTGAATTCATGGCTTCAACCCAACGGTTTGCTTCTTCTAGTAGAGGTAGTGGAAAAGTCTGTTGTGGCCAGATGGATCTAGCTTCGCCGGTGTCAATCATATTTTTGATGATATTTGTTCGTTCCAATTGCTCACCTTGCCATAGGAAGATGTTCGCATACCTAAGCAGGAGCTCACGGAGCTCCTTTCTCTTGTCATCAGAACTGT